TATATATATATATATATATATATATATACACACACACACATATATGTATAATTAATAAACCGGAATATAAAACATGATCTTTTGATACCTGCAAATGATTCATACTATCTAAACGTTTTTATCTAGACAAAAATAATTAATCATCGTCATGGTTAATTAATTCTTATCTTTTCGAACTTCTCATCTTGTAAGTTCTATCATGCCCTCAAACTATTAAAATGCGATTGTATCTTTTCGATAAAAACAAACGCGAGACTGAATTGTCATCGACCTACATTCGCAATAACTGCAGATTAAATCAAGTGCGTCCTGTCATTCACGCAGCTTGTCGCTCAATATTTGGAGCATCCTTCATAATGCAAGCACCGTTATATGCTCATTATCGCAATTTATAGAGAGAAAAAGAGAGAGGAGGGAAGAAAGAAAGAGGAGGGAAAAGAGAGAGAGAGAGAGAGAGAGAGAGAGAGAGAGAGAGAGAGAGAGAGAGAGAGAGAAAGCCATTAGATAGAATTTCTCATTTACGCATCGACGCGACGCAAAAAGCTTGTAAACTGATTCGATGCCTGATGGACAGTCTTAGATCAACATAAAAATGATGACCAAATAATGGAAGCTTTCAGACGTCAATTTCAGAGGACTGCATTACGTGACAAGGACAACCAACCAGTAAATAATAGAGATTGTAAGCGAATTGTATCATAAAAAACAAAGAATAGTTATTTGGATTTATAAGCTTCCCCATGCCATAAGTAGATACAAATAGAAATTGTATCTATCACATCGTTAGTATACTACTTAAAAATAGGTAGCTTAATATCGATATGCCATATCTATTGTATTATATTTAATAATAAATTTTTGAAGAATGCTAAATTAGTCTAAAGTTTTTTCCTTTACGTAATTTTGTGAAATATGATGTTCTATAAAAATAATACATGCATAACGAATGTATATATTCATCATGTTACATAACAGTATGTATAGATATATATTCTTTTGTAGATAAATCAACTAAAAGGAAATTAATTGTTTTTAGTAGAGTAAGACACCGATCGTTACATATTACAAGAGCGAAATATATCGAATTAAGATGAAAATTTCATTGAGAATTCAATGTCTAACGTGGTATAAACTACGCTTTTGTTTTTTAACGAGAGAAATTATTGGAACTTAGGAACGGCTTGAACAAACTGAACAAATTACGTTGCAACAAACACTGTGGCCTATTTCTGTCGTTCTCTTGTGGAGAGCAAACTAAACGTCATGAAAATTCACGGATGCAATTTCCTGTGTGTGAGACACATATCAATTAGAGACCAAATCAACTGATGATTCTTAAGGAGATTCTTAATGAGAATATTTTTTTTAATTATTCATGTAAGTCTCTTTAAGACGTAAAATACGAAGTATATTAATAAAGTAATTAATTTTATAAATTAACAGATTTAATAAATTAAATCTAATTTCCGTTATGTCTATTGATTAATGCGAAGTTTTGACGGAAAATAACAAATTATTAAGGTACTTAAAAAAATTATAATAGTATTTTTTTCTCTATTAATAGTAATATTAATAGTAATAGCAAGATCAGTTTAAACTTTATAATAGAGAAAACTGAAAAATTAATTTACTAAGTATTTGAAATTAATTTTAATAAAAAAACAAGCTTAGACATCAGTATTCTTTACATAATAATAACAATTCTATTAATATTATTGTTATGACATGATAATATTATTATTATGTATAATTATATATTCTATTAATATTGTTATATTAATATTATGTATAGTATTATCGTTTCAATTTAATATGATTTATAAAGTTAATATATTTCATATTGTTAATTTTTTTTTGAAATAGTAACCTTGCTAAATCACATATTAATTCTGCTATATAATATATTCGATTTTAAATTTTAAGAGACAGATTTATTTATATATTTTGTATATTTTTTGTCGCAATCTTTTTGCCATAATACACATATTCCACACTCGATTAAAATTTGATTTCAAAAAAATAACACGAAGAAAAGATAAAGCTTTAAAGAACAATTTAGTTAATTAGCCCTTGATAAAATACTATGATTATTCATGCGGACAGTTTGGAAAAATTAGCATACTTGTTGCTATCTAAAGAAAGATGTTCACGTATTTCGTATACTTCAGAATAAAAATAGATTAAATAAAAATAGATTAAATAAAACACGAGATACGTATAATAAATTATCTTGGAACATTAGCTTCTCTTAATTGATTATTGATGTATGTATAATAATTATACGTGGAAGTCATACTAGATGCTATTTGTTGCGAGACAACTCTAGATCGATAATAGAAACGATAGAAATGGGACATTTGCTTCTACAAGTTCTATTTATCCTTTATACTAGTATTCATAGCCTTATATTTAAGATTGCCTTAAGTACAGTCTTAAGTTGGCACAAGTTAATCACAAAGCAGTATTAGCAGCCTTAAGATATTATTTAAGATAGTCTTGAAATAAGAATAGGCTATGAATACTGGCATAATCTCTGCAATTGTATCCATAACAACTAAATTATTTAAATCAATATGCATTTATATATATTATGTTACTATTTTAAATTTAAATTGTTAAAAAAAACCCAAAAATATTTTTATGTAAATAAAAAATAATTTATAGATATTTCTATGTACTAAACGATTACATCACAATTATTGCGTATAAAATAGTTTTATAATAATAAGTGTCATAATTTGAAGGATATCTTCATTTTAATATAAATGGAAATAATTAATGTATAGACAAACTGCGATATTATATTATATTACGATTTTATATCGTACTTTAAACTATGAAAATTAAACGCTTGTCTTGAAACAATATATTATTATTAAAGTACTGTTTAAATCAACGTAGTATTACAGAATATAGAATTCTAAAATTAAATTAAATTTACTTTTTTTTAATGCTTCAGAAGTAGATTAGTTAGATTACTAGAAGAGAAAATTTGCAATTAGAGAAGGCACGTGTCAACATAAACGGCTCGAAAGATCAGTATCAAGTTAAACAAGCTTGCGAGCTGTTTCTGAAATAAGCTACCCTACTTCGAATAGGGCGTGCAGAGGACACGCGCGTGATCGATAGGCATGTACTATCTTTTCCTAAGCACGTGGATCAATGGAAGCGACTTAAAGGTATGTTCTCGCTCTAGAATATCTCATGAGTAGTTTGAATCAAATCAATTCTGTTTTATAATTATTTAAAAATATACTGCAAATTTTGCAATATCAATTATTTTATTGATAAAAAATTATGAAATTTTTAGAAAATTCTGTAACTATTTCTATTTCTAATTTGTATGTGCTATTGATTTTTGAACGAGCATTTAGAGATAAAACAGAACGCGTCAAGTTCGACTAGCTTAATCACCATTTGTTGTTAATGTCAATGTTACTGTTGATAATTTTTTCATTCAAATTTTTTGAGATCCAATTAAAACGAGTTGATATACGTTCTTATGATTGCTATATTTTGTTTGTCAAGTTATTAGAGAAATATACTTTATTGTAGATGATTCATCCGAGATTTATATCATCGATGTATTGTATAAAAAGACACTTACCTTCAGCTGTTCTTGACGACGATACGCGTGCAACATTAATTGTTTTCGTTCATCTTCTGACATTAATGGCTCCCTCGCTGGTTTTCCAGATCCTCTCTTTTGTAGTTTCACGATCACTTTGGTTTTCTCGTTATTACCTACAAAGTCCTTCATCTTCTTCCCAGGTAATAACTCCTTTCCGGAGAACCATAATTGAGCCAGTTGCATATCGATTACCTACAACAAGTGTGTGTCTTTCCAAATGTTGATAAAGATGTCGCCTATTTCCAACATGCTGAATTTTTTCACAAGTGATACAAAAACTTAAAGAACATTTTCCAGATTGGCTTTTCCTTTTAGACGTCTGTACAACATTTTTAAATGACAAATTTATTAAATTTGCTTGAATGTATATGACATTTTTGCATTCTGTCTGAGTGTTCTCTCTCTTAACGTGTATTTATAAAAAAAAAATATATTTCTTATTTTTATATTTATTTTACCATATCCAAAGCTTATTAAAATCGAAGGGGGATATGTCCACAATTATATTGTCATATTAATTATAAATATTTAAAAACACAATATATACATACCTCGAGAGAAGCTTGAGTACCAGTGAGATCTTCAGTATTCTCAAACTCTTTACGGATCACATCGTGTAGTGGAAGTCCCATCGGATAAACAATCATCACGGCGCCTCTTAACAAATCCAGAGCTTCTTGAACTGTCTTTTGAGTAACCAGTTTCTCTTGTTGCACTAATTTCTGCGATTATGAAATGATATTAAAGAATTGTGAACCGAAAGTTTATAAAGAGTAAAATATAATAAATTAAATTGCATTTACTTTCGATGTCATGGTACGTGCATCCTCAATAGTTTTTTTTAGCACCTCCTGCATCTTTTCGTTTGGTTGTCTGCCATTTCTGCGACCTATATTTATCTAAACTCAGTCTTAATTTATTATGTGTATGTGCAACTTTTTAAATACAATTTTGCACAATTTATTTTCAGTAAAATTTTATATCACTTTGTAAATATTTGTAAAACTAAAATAAGAGATTCGATAACAAAATATTTCATGTGTATCTGTTTTATATAATAGTAAGATTATTTTTTATAATAGTAAGATTATATTTCGTTACAAAATATCAAAATGCCAAGATACTTTTATGATAATTATTTTAAAATTTTATTGACATTATTAAAAAGTAAAGAAAAATAGACAAATAGAAAATATAATAATAGAAATTAGAAGTATCAAAAAGAAGTTATCAAAAATAAAAAAAAGATAAAATATGTATAATTAATATCACAAATTATAAGCTAATATTAAAAAAAAATAAATATATACTTTGTTTTCTTTATTAGCTCTGCAGGAGCTTTTTATTTTTATTTTTTAACAATTCTTATGAAAAATCCATGATTCATTATTAATTATGACAAGAGGCGTTAATTTTTATAATAAAATCTATTATTATGCGAGGACGGCGAAAAATGTTACGTACCGATCTTGTCTTTGTTGAAAGTCCAACCGCCCATAGGCACGCACTTGTCTGCCCATTCGTCCTTGAGCTTGAGCTCCTCGACCTGATCGTCCGTGAGGCCCATTATGTCAGGTGGTAACATTACGCCGTGCTTAGCCAGCTCCTCGATCTCTGTTTTTCACAAAAGAGATACTTATGAGAAGGCAAACGCATGAGAGGGAGAGTGACTATACTCAAGTATATAAGTCCGTATAATTATCCCGCGTGACTAATATCACACGATGGCCAGGATAGATGGGTTCATAAACTCAAGCCTTGACTTCTTATTACATGCTGTTATTACTAGCCACGGGTGTGCTCCGAAGAGATAATCACTAATGGATTTTTCGCGTTAATATTCTGACTGCAAAGGCTTGCCACATAAGTTCATCTCATTCCACAAAAGCTCGTTAAAAACAATTGGTATTTCATTGCAACTTATTTGTTTCTTATAGACATATTGTTCAATATTTCTTATAACTTAAATTTTAAATTATATTTAAAAAACTTAATTTTGTGTCATAAGAAGTAATAGTACGGATAAAACTAATAATGTAATATAAAAGAATTTTTTATATTTATCCTGTATGTTAAATTTTATATAAAAGAATAGAATAAAAAATTATTTCTTATATTTATTTTTTAATTTTACAATATAGTTATGATTCTTCAAAGTAGTCAAAATAATACGAAATTTCTTAAACATATGTTTAATTCTATTTTCTCAATATTTGAAAACCTGCCACTGTAAAGAGTATATAATAAATTTACCATAACAAATTCTTGAAATCTTCAAACGACCATTGTAAATCACTACGATGTCACATATAACATTGTCCACATTCGCCTCCAAATCGGTATCATATAAAAATTGGCTGTCGTCACCTTTCTTCACGTGCAATCTCACCATTTTTATCAAGTCAAAATTTTCAACTTTTAACTAAAATTGAAATTTTTACTATTAAAATAATTTGTAACAGCTTGAGATTTTTGATTGAGATAATGAATGGTTATTAATTATAATTATTAATTTGACTTGAAAATTAATTTGACGTCAAAATTATAAGTGCATCAGCGAGTTGTCACGGGAAACCACGAGGAGAACTAAACATCCAACGATCCAACGTATATTCACCCAACAAAAGCCTGAACAACGTCAGGATGATACATCGTCCATAGTAACACAAGTTATCGATTAAACAACGTGAATACTATCAATGTGAAAGAAATTGGAATAAAATGTTAGCACAATTCATTCAAACAGCTGAAAAAGAATTAGGTTGACCAAGCAATAGCGATAATAAAATGAAGGAGAGCAATGAAAACGGATCGATAAGAATAGGAAGATGTTTCGTAATGAGTATATAACTTTGTGTTGCTCATTATTATATAATATACATATTTACATTCTAATGGAACACGGATTACAAGAATAAAGACGTTCATATATCGTTAGAAATATGAAGAAACGCCGACAATGCAAATCTCCATTTTGGTCGTCGTGTTTTTACTGGCGTTTTTGACACAAAAATATGATATATTTGTATGATTGCTTAACGTCGATATATAATATATATATAGCAGCAATTAATAATATTTTAAATATTTTCGGCGCAACGTTGCACAATAAAAATCTATGTCATAATCCATAATTCTCGGCTATAATGTAAGTGACTAGTATTATGTTAAAATACACTTAGAGTTTCAATTCGATGAGGTGCATCTTACGCAGGTCATTTTCCTGTTTGAGGTTCAAACAAAATGATCCATGGGCGTAACAAATGATTTGATCCATCAAATAAAATTTTGTTATAATTATTACACATCATGTTATCGTCAAGTGATGCGCATATTGGAAATTTCAATCTGGTTTTCTCTTCTTTTATTACTTTTATGTCTACGTTTTATCCAGTTATTTGTTACGCCCACATGATGGTCCCTATAATAATTGTTGCATACGGACATGTCAAACGTTTAAACATCCTAAGTGTGTGTCCTAAATTCGTGAGCGCAATTAGTTGACTCGCGATGATTCCGAAATAGACACGGCAAAAATTATTATTTTTTTTCTTGTTCATTTTAATTTTTAACATCGATACGAGTAACAGTGATAATTGCTTACATTGAGTGGAATCTTCATACCACTCGCAGAACATGATGGAACAACAAGATTTGGAAACTTACACTTTACTCAAAATCCTTTCGCATTGCTCGAACTGCCGCGGCCATTGTGACTTCGGCGGTAAATCTATGATAACGAGCAGAACTGCACAGTGCACTGCTTCGTTTATTCAAATCGCTATATGAAAAATATTTTTAATTTCACAAAAATAAAAAAGTTTAAAACATTTTATCAATTGTAAATAAAAAGACAAAATAAAACAGCATTTGTGGTGCTGTAAGAAAACAGAAATAATAGGTATAATTTTCTCAAAAATTATACCTATACCAAATTTCTTGTGTGTGCATGTGTGTATGTGTGTGTATATAGCTACAAGTTATTTTTACTTAAATGTAATAGCTTCACTATGTATTTTTTCACACAACAGCTTAAACGGCGCAGCAGTGCATCATGTAACTCCGACACTGAAACGACGTAGTTCTTTCTTTTACATATAACAAACACGTGCTTATAGAGCACATTTATAAATAGACACATGTGTACATGCGTACGCGACATATTACATATCGGTTCGTCTACGTGTGGCAATACTTATGAGAGAGGAAGAAAATTCCTCTATCGAGACGTGAGTCGACTACTTTAATGTGATACTCTATGTGATAGAAAAATTGGCATTTGATCCAAAAAAATATATGAAATGCATGTGAAATCTGTATTCTCAAATAATATCCTATCTAGGCTTCATCCCATTTTTTAGGAGCCTGACGGAAACATTAATCGATCAATATCATCATAAATGGTAACGAACGCTGTCAATTTAGATGCGGTTTCATTTACAACTGTCACTGTAGCTGATTGGTGCACTCTACAAGCTTGAATGATTCTGCATAGCGACATTTTATTATAATTCGGTCCCACGGATTCATTTATTCATCAAAAGTTTCATCAGGGCACATATTATAGTTGTGTTTAGTTATAGAAAAATATTTAACATGCAGTCCAGTAATAAAATTTTGTTGCAAAAATAAAATATAAAAAAATTTAGTTGTATCGTAATTTATATTATAATTTGTACAAGTCGAAATAATGACTTTTTGTACCAAGAAATTTTATCGATTTTATAAGAGAAAAATATCGTTAATCTCAACTTTATTTGCTCATCTTAAAATTTCATCAGAGCACACACATATTATGAATGTGCCTATTTGTAGAAAAATATTTGACATGTCTAGTAATAAAATTTTGCTGCAAAAATAAAGTATTAAAAAATTAATTGTATTTAATTTATATTATATTTTGTACAAATTAGAACAATGACTTTATATCAGGAAGTTTTATCGATTATGATATTGTGAGGAAAATATCGTTAATATCAACTCTTGCTTTCTGATGTATCATTCTATCTTATTTTTATCGAAGATATGAACTTGCTATGATATAGAATAAACCCATGGAGTCGCTATTTTCATATAAACACATACACATAGTCGTCGAAAACACCGAATGACGTTCATCTTCTATCTCGCAATCGGAAACATTCATCGGCCGTTTTTTTAAATCTTCATTATTAAAATGCGATTAAATTAAAAAAATTACAGTAAGACGCAATTTCAGATATCGCGCCCAATTGCAATCGAAACTTCGTAGATTTATAAATTCTCGAACAATAACAATGTCAGAATTGCAAACAAACGAGTCGTCCTTTATATTCCAAAACGATTTATCAAGACGCGCGTCATCTTCATTAAAATTGTTCAGTAAAATTGTCCAGTCTCATTCTTTATATCCCATCCCTTATAACTTTCATGACAAACGGACGGCAAGATTTTTGTACAGTAAACGTCATACGGGGGATTCTATTACTATATTACTATACGATAAAATAGGTTGCTTATCTCAAGTTCAAAAACAGTTGCTGAACAAAGCTAACTACGACATCGGTGGGTTTTGGTTACTGATCGCGATTATTCCTCATCGATAGTAGGCTGGACTTGTAATACGTCCTTTAGGATCCTGTTGTCATATTGCTGCTCATCGGGTACTTGGAGAGTAGACATGGACATAGAGGTGGAAGTGGATGTGGAGGTGGACGTGGAAGTAGAAGTGGAAGAGGAGGAGGAAAAGGACGAAGAGGAAGAAGGAAAAGAAGAACCGTGCAACAATAGCTGTTGCACGGTACTCTGTTCTCAAACTTTGCTTTCAGGTCCGTCAGTTGTGTGCTTGAAAGAATTACGGATTTTGCTGAGATGAAGGGCAGCGATATGTCCATAGCTCTTATTGTACCATTCAGGTGTGCGTCCCCTGAAAATAAATTATTTCATTTTGGATTTTCGTCTAATCTCAAGTCTATTTAATATAAATTTATTTCAAATAAATAATGAAAGAATTATTTTTTAATAAATAAAAATAATTAATTTATTTTAAATAAATGAAGATAAATAATTCGCGCTTCAAATAAATTTGTGTTAAATATTTCTAAATCAAGAATCATGAATAAGATAAAGTGAATTGTATGAAGGAAAAAATTTAATATCACTTACTTTGTATCGACTCTGGATAAATGCATAATGCGAGATTTGCCGCTACCACATGGTTCTATAAGATAACGTGAGGCCAAAACGATGCCGCGAGTTCCTCCAAGCATGACAGGGGCATCTGGATGTTGCACGGATGTTTCGACAATGACGCAAGCACCTTTAGGAAGATCATTTCGCCAAGATCTGCAAAAATTAATTATACTAATTAGAAACTGTAAACATCTCTATTAATCGTTCACGAGAAATAAAAAATATTTGTTATTTATAAAAATACAATAATTTTCAAATGTTTTCTTTTTATTTAAAATAAATAAAAAGAATACGTGATTTTTGATCATGACAACTGATGTAATTTTTTTAATTCACCTTAATACACAATAATCTCGGGCGGGCAGCGGACTCATGTTCCCGGTGGCGTATTGGAAGACCTCCACATTGGTGTCCAATTTGGTAACCAGTCTGTATTTTAAAAGTTGTGGATCCCAGATGTGTCTTTCTCTTAATACACGATGTAATAGCTCGTTTGGAGGAGCCTCGACTTCGGTTGATACTCGCCAGAGACGAAGCGGATGTCCATCGCCAACTTTTTTATACGCCATTTCTACACTGTTGTCAGCAGGATTGTTTATTGTGACCCAACCGCGACTTCTGCTAGAACGAATTACAATCTTCAATTCAGCGCATTATAAATCTTCTGTTGATCTATTTTATTATTCTATTACTTGTTATTTTATTATTTTATTACTATTTATTTGTGGCTTGTATGATAACTCGATATACTCTTTTCAGTCTTTCTTTCATTTATATTTGTCTATATAAAGATATATATATCTTTGATTTGAAAATTTTTAACCGAAAATTTTTACATTATCTCATTATTTTTTTCACAAATGAATTGAATCATAATAATGAAATACTCACTTTTCTCGCGCTTCCTTCAGCAACGCCGTGGTACAGGCGTACAGGTACCCCCTCCAATCCTGCTTCAATTCCGAACCGAGTTCCTCCAGAGCGACTGGAATGCTCTCTTCCATATAATTAAAGTGACACTGCGTTAACATGTCCGACGAGACCTGAAAGAACCGGAAGAGGCATGAGCTGTGCCCTTCTCTCGTTCACGCTTGTGATCGAACCAAGCGCGCGAGCAATCGCGATCGACGAATAACGATGCTTTAGCACTCACCATGAATAATTCACGATGCATCTTGACCAGATACAGAAGACAGTCGTGAGCAGCTTTATTTTCCGACAATTCCCGCTGATCGGGAATGCCCACAGTCTTTCGCCTACGTGGCGACACGCTGCTCGACCTGTTAGTCACGTTTGTGTTACTGTGGTTGAAGTGAAACAGGCTCGGGGCTAGACACACAGCCAGATTCGAGGCTGTCATTTGGTTATAGGGTGAGTTGCTAGCGACATGATTGAGAAAATCGAGCAGAGTTTCCAGTGCCTCGCGATGTTCATCCGGGAGTAGTAATAGGACGCACTGCACAGCATCGGGTCGCAATTCTACTGGTACATCTGCGAAAACAACCGATGCATTGTAAAATCATGTTTGTCTCTCCGTATGATTAATTATAGTTGTTAATTTTTAAATGCTTTTTTGATATCATACTCGATTTTTCTTTTTCTAATACTTCTTCCGTTGCTTATAATTTTTTTTATTAATAAAAAAATACGTATTGCTTGATATCATTATGTTTCTTAATATCTAACATTTCGATTTAAAAAAATTGTTTACAATAAGTTTATGTTTATAGAAGTTATAAGCAACCGAATTAGAGATTGGATATGCCATGCTCAAGTATATTATTCCCATAGTGTAGTATTCAAGAATCTGGAGACAGTGTCTCGGCGCTAAGCCAAGCGCAGCGACACTGCCATGGCTACTTTACGCGAGTCGGCGAATTGCAGGGTGAATTATATTTTAGAAAACAAGGAATCGCACAAACTTACGTTGAAAGATAGCAATGAACGTTTCCGAGAGCTTGTTCGTCAGCAGAGCCTCTGGCAGTTCTCTGAAATACTGTTTGACAAGATCGGCGACATCGAATGCTTGCTGTCCATCAAAATTGATATTGTCCCCCTGGGTTTCCGTCATGATCTTCAACTTTTGTATCCTCGATTTGACGCCGCTCTTTCTAAAAATTCCCACCTGATCCAGAGCATTGGCTCTCAACCATCTCAAAGCGATTTGAATACATTTAGGTAATGCTTGACCGGTCCTCTGTAGAGATAGCAGGAGTGGCACTCCGAAAACTGTCTTATCTTTATAATCAGGAGTCTTAATTTTCCTGATGAATTTCGGAAGCTCCCAGTTCCAACCAGTACGATGAGTCGGACAATATCGTTCCATGCATGCTGTGAGTTTTAGCAGTGCCAATTTCCTTAGAACTAAAAGTTGTCCGCATGACATGGAAGCCATCGCTCTAGGACATAATGGATCTAAGGGTTCGGGATAGAGCGATCCTCTCTGGAAGCTGTGCCATCTCACAACAGTACCCTTGTGCCTAGGCAATTCTTCTTCTGGTTCGGAATCCCTACTAGCCACAGTGGAGCCACTCTCTTGACTGCCGGCCAATTCAGAGCTCCTGGACCTAGATTTTTCTCGATAGACTGTCACCTCTTTGGATAGCGACTTGCCTTCCCTATGCGATTCATCACGGCGCCGGAAACTCTTGCGCATTTTATCTTCCCGCTTCGAAGATACTGCCTTTTCATCCTTGTCTTGCGAGAGTTTGTCGCGATACCTCTGCGATTCTTTGCCGAGATTTAGGCTACCACCGCGGGTGTTGATCGGTGAATTCTTTCCCGGCGTGGAATTTTGGGAACGCTCCTTGGAACTTTGAGAACGTACATTCACGAATTCTAGCACCTTCGCGTGATTGCTATTAGCATCGCGAAAGTATCGGTGTCGCCAGTTCATCGGCTGGCATTCGGAGTCGCTCAGTGCACCCTGATCCTCCCTCCCGCGATGTAAAAATCGACGGGCGCGATTCATCTTTGTGCGAGTCGGCGTCGGCGTCGGTCCACCACCTTGCGAACCGTCCGAGCAGTAGCTGGAGGAATCGTCGCCAAAGGGACTAGGCGTGTTCGCCATCGGAGACGGTGGTAGATGATAAGGAGAGGCCGGTAAAGTAACCGGCGAACCGGGAATTTGTACAGGCGAAGCCGATAGGAATTCGTTGAAGGACACCGGCGCCGGCTCCGTGGGCGACACATCCACGCAGTTCAGTTCCTTCATCTTCTGCTGCATGGACATCACATCGAGCACTTGAGGACCGCTGATCACCACTCCATCACGATTCTGGCGTTTCCTCCGTCGCGATTTTAGGGATTCCACGCGCCTCAGAAAAGCTTTTGCGCCGTCCCGGAGCCTCTCCGAACCGGATCTGCGAAACCGCGTACCGTTTTCCCCATCAGGAAGAGTTCCTGGTGGTAAACTGCCGTACCGTAGATTCTCCAGCATGGTATCTTCCGCCTCTTCAGCCTCCAGACGATCCTCGAGGGAGTCGTCCTCGGACGCAGCATTTTGTCCGGCGATCGCTTGCAATCTCTCGACGTTTGCCGTTGTGACGTCGCCTATGCGTGACCAGCGTCTTGTCCTCTTCTCGAAGGTCCATTTTTCACTCAAGG